CTCTCTCTCTCTCTCTCTCTCTCTCTCTCTCTCTCTCTCTCTCTCTCTCTCGATTTCTGTCTCTTTCCTCAGGTAGGGTATCCTTTGGATTTAAATGCTTTAGTTGTTGGGCTGTTTAATTACTGGGCAATGCTCAGTGGCTTTAAAGGACACGGGTCCTAGGCCAGCCTGTGTGACATTGGTATTAGGGCTTGTAGACACCACGTTCCACTGTTGTAAGTATGTGTGTCTCGTCTGTAGAGTTTGATTTTGTGCCACCCCAGAAACAGTTTGGTCAGGAGGCCTTTAATCCAGCCCTTCATTGGGTAAGCTGTTTCTACAGTCACTGAGGTGGAACCAGTTGTGGATTTCACCTCTTATGGTTGTTGTTCAAGCGTTGTATACATAGCTTTTGTTTCTTTTTATGGCTGACACCAAAACTCGATGCAACCATTTGTTCAGGTGGTGTTTGCCATGCAACCAGCTATAGCCTTTGGTGGTTTCTAACTGGAAGAGACTCTGGAATAGTGGGGGCACACACTGTTTAGCCTGTCCTACAAGGATCTTAAGTCTGCTCAAAAACCCTTTGAGCCTTTCAGTCCAATCCCATATAGCACTCTACCAAGTTATACTATACAGAAAGCAGGCGGCTAAGGCAAGATGGGGTATGAAAATCTGCCAAAATCCCGGGCATGGTGGTACATGCCTTTAATCCCAGAACTCAGGAGGCAGAGGCAGGTGGATCCCTGAGTTCGAGGCCAGCCTGGTCTATAGAATGAGTTCCAGGGCAGCCAGGGCTACACGGAGAAACCCTGTCTCAAAAAACCAAAACAATAACAAAAAGAAAGAATGAAAGGAAAAGAAAAGAAAACCTGCCAATGTCCCAAGAGTCTCCAGGATGCCTGCAGCTTCTTTCCATGTATAGGCACTGGCTGTTGTAGAATTTTGTCAGTAGCATTGTCAGATATAATGTACATCCTGCCAGACCATAGTACCACAGGAATTTTATAGCTGTGCCGGGCCCTTGCACCTTGTGCAGACTGAGCTCCCAACCTTGTTCCTTTAGATGTACCTGTGTGACCCTCTAATGACTTTTCAAATCTATAAAACACTCAAGGGTTAGCACTATGTCATCTATATAGCAAGACCTTTCCAGAGGATGGGCGGGGCAAGGCAACATCCTGAGGCACCATCTCATAGCAAATAGTGAGGTTACAAAGATACCTGTTGAAGCACCCAAAACGTCTGTTGTCACCTGTTCTCAGCAAGTGTCAGGTGATCCCAGTAGTTCATACGTAGGGAGATACTAAAGTCGAGCAGAAGCAAGGGTTAATACAGCCTGGAAAGGTCCCACCCATTTGTATTAGTTGCTTCCCCCACAGATCAAGGTAGGGTGCAAAGCATGGCGAGGAGGTTTTGACCTCATTAGCTCCGTGAAACTCCCTGTCATTCTCTCCAAGCCGCTATGTTTTCATCTGGAGCCTCACCGTGTTTCTCTGCACCAGAGGAACTAAGATGGGCCTGGTTTAATCAGTTCAGATCTCTGTGGGGTCAAAGGTGAGAGTAGCCCTGGTCTCCTCTGCTGTACCTGCTGACTCCCTGGGCCACAGTGGCCCTGGGTTGGCACTGTGGTTGGAGCAGTAGCTGTTGCCTCTCTATTCATCATAGCCTGGCTGGACAAACCATCTCCGCCCTTAGCATAACCTTTGTACTGGAGGGAAAGGTATTCTCCTTACCCTGGGAGGGTGATTAGGGTGATTATCCACCCTGGAGCAGGCTTGATCATCTTCAACTGTATGGTTTCCTCACAAACGTCTTCTGTGAACTGCTCCTTGGGTTCCAAAGCCTCCCAACTTCTCCTTAGCTCACAGTTTGGGTTCTTACTAATTTTTTCCTTAGAAACCCCAGCTTGATACAAATCTTGTCACATTAGTTTTTGAATAACCCTGACAGATCTATCTTTCTTTCTTTCTTTCTTTCTTTCTTTCTTTCTTTCTTTCTTTCT